AATTATCAGCTTTATAAGTGGATGTAGTGTTGTAAGTGTTGGTGCTTGTCCTTGTCCTTGCAGTGTGTGTGTGTGTGTGTGTGTGTGTTTGTTGTCTGTGTGTATGTGGGTGGAGGTCAGAAGGGAGCACAGGATAGAGGAACAGATGTGTGCTGTATTGTGTGTGGACGGACGGGGACCAGGTGCAGCCTTTGTCTCCTCGGCATTTAAGTCCACTCGCTTGCATTCAGCCGCCTCGTGCCTCCCCCCCCACCCCCCCTCCTTTCCTCAGAGGCAAAGACGTGTTTGTGTTTGTGTGTGTGTGTGTGTGTGTGTGTGTGTGTGTCGAGGTGGAGGAGGGGACTGCCTTGGTTTAGCAGAGTAGGCTCCAGCAGTCCGTTCTGCACCCCTCCTCCTCCTCCTCCTCCTCCTCCCTCACAGGTGACTGTTGGAGGTCCCAGCTGGCCAGCTCTTGGCCGATTAGATCCATATGGTACAGGAGGAGGAGGAGGAGGAGAAAGAAGTGCCCATCAGTTGCATTGGTGCTAAGGGAGCTGTTAGCTTATGCCTTTTTTTTTACCGCCCTGAGCTGAACGACAACTCCTCAATGTTTTGATCTGTTTCAATTCATTATTATTGAACACCCTTAAGGCCTGTGTCTCACCAGTTCATGGTTTAGGGCTAATATTATTTTTTACTACTATTCCTCTATAGATGATCATCATATCTATGGCTGTTTGATTTCTGTTCAAAATGAGCCTGTAGCCCCTTTATTTTAAACTGTTTGCGAGTGGTAATAAACAGAATAAAGCTCCACTTGACACTGCTGTTTTATTTTAGTGTAAATAAGTCAATAATACATTTAGATTCACCTTTAAAGTTTAATCTCATTTTTGTGAGGGAATGATTAGGCTTAAGTACAGGTTGAGCCAGCAGCTAATAGTCTGATAAACCCAACCACTTAAAAAGAAGTAAAGATATGCTCACATCAGTTCCCTTTATTGTGCCATGTGTTAGCTAGCTGTTCAGCTAACTCCCAAACGTCTAGGTTTCCATTGAGGCTAAAGGTTGGAAAACAGAGGACATTTTCTTCTGAGGTTCTAAGTTTTTATCAGAAAGCTACAAAGTGTAAGCTAACCTACTGAACCCTGAATTTAGCTATTCTTTTCAATGTATTTAAAATAAATATCCCAGCTATCTGAGTTGGCTAGCTTAGTTCCAGTGTTTTCAATAAGCTGGGCTAACTCTATTCTTACCTTAGTCATTAGACCTACTTATTTAAAAAACATTGTCTTCTGTCATCTTTTTCAGTGTTCCCTTTATTAACTGTTGTTTCAGTGAGCCGTACTGCATATTGAAGTGTCTACTAGTGTTCACTGTGTGTGTGTGTGTGTGTGTGTGTGTGTCTGCTCTGAAACCACATCGTAGCAGCACATAGCACGTAGCATTGCACGTACTCTCATTTTCTCATTTGTCTTTTGGCTTGCTGATAAATTAGCACGGTCTGCGTTACATCTTCTCTCACCTCATCTGCAGCGACAGGACAGAGATAGCTGTGCACAATCATGTCCACTCGCACTTGCACACACATGCCTCACAGGCAGCTGCCAGAGAGTTTAAACCTCTGAGTTAAAACATGAGCCGAGTAAGCCTTAACACCAAACACATTTATTTACATATCAAGTCAAGTGTGATTAATTTGTACGGACTCAAAGTAGGTTATCCATCCTCGCTTTACGCAAGGAGTCGTTTCTAATTTCATCAGTACATAGATTGCATTAAGTACTCGCTAAATGGGAATAGCCTGAAATCTCTTCTTTTCTTTTTTTCTGTCCCTCATCCTGAATCATCGCCTGCAGAGTCGGAGAGGCAATTAAAGCTGATTGAATGTTTAAATGCAGACGAGTGTCACCTGAAGCTGAACAAACAAGGAACACCTGGCTAGCAACAACAGATCACCACAGATGCACATTACTTTCCCATCCCTGCAACGACAACAGTTGTAGAAAGCAAATAAATGAGCTCGAGTAAATAACAGGACTATAACATGTATTATCTACATCATCTGTCTGAGAAGAAATGAGAGACAGAGAAAGGACAGAGAATGGTATGGACACAATCACATTACGTTTTTGTAATCAAGTATTTTTTAAGCAGATGAACCCCTTTGCTCTCTAGGTTATTTAGTACTCATTGGTCTGCTCACATGCCAATTCACTTTAAAGTGTTGTCTATGCATCGTGGCATTTTCCTGTAATCCTGTTGACATGTGCGGTGGAGCTTTGTGTACCTTTGTTCCATTAGAGCATTAAGGACAGGTGGCATTTAGACCAGACAAACAGCCCACATCCTCCTTTAAGCCAATATTCACCTGAGTTAACATCGGACCACTTTGTACACTCTGTGCATGTGTGTGTGTGTGTGTGTGTGTGTGTGTGTGTGTGAGTGTGTGTGTGTGTGTGTGTGTGTTTTGCTGTCGCAGTGACAGCTGCCTCCCCTGTGACTATATATGGTGGACTCAGGTGCTTGCAAACCAGATGAAGTCATCCAGCTATGGTCGCTGTCTAATTGACAAGCAGAGGCAATTCTCTGTGGGCTGTCAGCACTACATGCACACACACCTGATGTCTCCTGTTTTGGATGTTACCTCTGGCACGTCTAACATACACTGCCACATCTTAAGATTGCATGAGCACAGCTGTGACTTAATGTCTCTTTGCTATATGTAGAGGATGCTCAAAACAAGACATATGTATAGCATGTTTTTGCCTCATGTAGACCTGTCTGTCAAACACAATAGACATACAAGAAGCTTTACAAGCATGACAGTCAATTTGGACGCCTAATAACAATTCACTGCCAAAGGAGAACTGTTGATAATGTGTTAACAAGTTCTTGTGAATACATTTCCATGCAGCACTACTGTATAACACTCTGAATGCCCAAATCCTTGCTCTTGGCTGTATGAACTTGTTTACATGGCAACAGTGTTGACATTAAGGCCATATGCCATGCTGATTCTGTTATTGAGATGTCAGTCTAATTTCCTGGCCATACGGTTGGAGTGTGTGAAGCTTTGGAACTGGTGTGTGTGTGTGTGTGCGCGCGCGTGTGTGTGTGTTTTTGTCCGTGCGTGTGTGTGTGTTTTTGTCCGTGTGCTGAAGGCTGCTTCCTGCGGTGCTCTGGCAGCCTGCTTGTGTGGAGGGTATGACAGTCCAAATGTCTGCTTCGATCCCTCCTTCCTGCCCCCTGTGTGGGTGAACAGGTGGAGAGATGGCAGGGCAGGCCACACAGCTGAGGAGGAATGAGAGGGAAAAAGAGAGAGGGATGAAGTTGAAGGAAAAAACAGGAGGGAGAACAGTCAAAGCTGTATAATGAGTTGCAGACATGACAGATGAGTTTCACAGGGCGGATTGACAAAGCGTGTGGATAGAATCACTTTATGGACGGCAAACGGGGCTAAAAAAATATCTTTGTCTACATTTTTAAGCATTCAACCACTTAAGATAACATCACAGTTGGATGGAGAAGCATAGCATTCAAACTCTTGTGAGCTAATATTAGTATCCTGTTTTACAGTGTTGCATGATACGTCAGCATTCAACCACTTACAAGCGAGCATTTCCCTTTGGTTGTGTGATATAACAAAAGAGGAAAGTCCCAAAAGTGTGTTACTTTTTAAACGATATGTGTGACCAATAGGGGTTTGTTTATCAGGATGGATATAGCCTATACTTTTCTCTCAAAGTTTACACTTGGAAGAGTAAATGTGAAAAAGTAGTTGAATGCTAAAGTTAGCTTTTGTTGCTAAGTCGTCTATTCTGCTGATCGTTTAGGAGCCAGTTATTGGCTCTTTGTCATTGTACTGCTGAGATTTGGAGGCTGAAACACTGCAGTACCACACCAATATGTGAAGTTCCAACCCAGAGGTTAACATCAGTCGTCAATGGCTGCCATGTGAATATGGGGAATTCCTCCATCTGAGTTCCCTTGAAATACGTACTGACAGCTTAAACCTTCAGACTTAAACGCCTTTATAAACTGGAACCCTGTGGCTCAAGGCCATGCAGAGTTCATAGCTGTGAAAACGATATAAAGGGTGCCATTGAAGCCAAAGCCCTAAAACCATGAATCCACATTTAAAAAGCTGCTCTCTGCTGACCCATGACCTGTGGGACCATGCTTGTCTATTAATCGTCCATTCTTAAAGCAGTTAGAAAGGTCTGATCCACTCTAAATGGAGACGGGTCCCGGCCTTCATGGATCTACAGGAGACAAAGACGGTGTCTGATCCCACATCTCCCCACCGCCACACCCCTCATTTCACTCTTTCCATACCCCTTATCTGGTGGTCTCATTCAGCGGCTATAGCATATTGAGAAGTTGCGTTTAACATTCAAAAGATTGCCGATCTTGTTAGTAAAGCGTGAAATAACCTCGTCCCTTTCTCTCTCTGTCTCGTCTTCCACCGCCCACCCCCCCAACCCGTTTGAGGGGGGAGCTCAACGAGGGGGCATTCTTCTCCCACACAATGGACTTCTTCAGCATTTCTTCTGTTATTGATCTGAATAGTTTGGGAGAAAGGGGCTAAACTTTAGACATCTGGCTCTTTTAAAGGGGGGGTTGGCAGGGTGGGTGATGCCCTGGCAGTATGTGTTGTGTTGTGAAGTGGGCTGGGGGGGGGGGTGGGCATTTAGTTTTCTTTTGTGGCTATAGACCTAAAGCCTTTGCATTCATTTAAACCACTTAGCTGATGGGGAAAGTAAGACTGGTCTTTGCTTGTTTATTTGCGATTGCGGATGCTTAAATGAGTTAAATTGCAATATTTATTGTAGTTATTTTATACATTTGAGTCTGAGTTAATTAAAGAAAAAGAGCTGAAAAGCAAGACTAAATCAAAGCAAAACTTGCTCATATTTAATAACAACTGAGACCTGGTTTAAATCATCAGATTTAGAACATCTTAAAACACCGTTCTTGACCCCCCAGCTGACCTCTCTCGCCTTCTTTTTTCTCTGCAGACGGTAGAGAGAAGAAGACCCCTGCCATGCCCGGTTCTCCTGTGGATGCTAAGACTCATTCCAGATCAGCCCCCAGCAGCAGCTCCAGCTCCACGATGCCTCCCCTGCCCTCCGTCAACCCCAGCGGCCCTCGTCCGGCCTCCTTCTCCACCACAGCATGTAAGAATTATTCTATTTTTTTTGTCAATTTTATTTCATCCAAAAAAAACAATAAAGTTAAGAAAAACAAACAAACATAAAATCTCAAATTTTGAATGAAAAGGAGCAGAAAGAAGATTAATCTTATAATATCTGCCCCTCTTTTACAAGACATTAATTAAAACAAAACAGAACACTTAATTCAAAAACAATTAAAATTAAAATAAATTGGCTGCAGGCAGACACTAGCAACTGGCAGCCCCCCTGTAAGTCCTCCTTACCAATTCATTATACACTGTACAAATGATATCACAATACATTTTTGTTACAGCATCACGAAACAAAACAGTATCTCACTGACATATTTCCACATATTTATTCAACAAACTGGCTTTAATTTTTCTTTTAAATATCATGTTTGATTTTGATTATTTAGTTTCTCTATTAAGATTCACTTTATCCCGAGCAATACTCTGATATTACTTCTATTTTTGTCATTAAACCTGAATTTGTAGCTTGAGTTTGGATTCATTTAGACTATTTACTATTTAAACCGGTGTTTAGTGCATGTCATGTGGATATCTTAATTGCACTGAACAATAAAACACCAGTAATCAATGATCCTGAATCCACTATAAGGGAAGCATTCTCTTTATTTCTTTCTTATTAATCTCCCCTCTCTTCTCCAGTGACAAACGGGAATCACCATTCCCCACCTACCCTGAACGCAGTGCCATCTCCACCACAGCGCTACAGCAACGGACCTTCTTCTTCCTCATCCTCGTCGCTGGCAAACCAGCAGCTGCCGGCCACCTGTGGGGCTCGCCAGCTGAGCAAGCTGAAACGCTTCCTGACCACGCTGCAGCAGTTTGGGAACGACATCTCTCCTGAGATCGGAGACAGCGTCCGAAGCCTGGTTCTGGCCCTCGTAGTAAGCTCTTTTGCTAACTCTTTGTCTTATTTCTTTCGAGACGTAGCAACATCTGACACTGTAGCTTTTATCATTGCTCTTCTGATCGTCTCTTTCTGTGTCTCCTAGAATTCAACAGTCACCATTGAGGAGTTTCATTCCCGTCTTCAGGAGGCCACAAACTTCCCCTTACGGCCCTTTGTTATTCCTTTCCTCAAGGTAAACACAACAACGTCCTCTCTTTCTCTGATTTTGTATATTTCCTCAGCATTATTGTGTTGGATTTTTTTAAACTTTGTAGCAGTATTTTTTCCCCATCTCATTTGAGTTTTAGACATTACACCCAATGCTACGCCTGTTTCTGTTAGAATCATTTAACCTTGCTCACTTCTCCTCTCCCGGCTGAGGTTTTCCACCATGCTACATTATTAATCACATAATAACAGGCGATAAAGAGAAGGTTCTTGACTTTAACATAACCCTGAATAATCTACAGGCAATCATATTACAGCTCATGAGTCATGCTGGAAAAGTAATAGATTGATTACACTTTATTACCGTGTTTCCAGGACACACCGCTAAATAGGGATCTGTGTAGGTTTTCTAATCGAATAAACAACCTCTCTAATGTTCAAAGGAACTATCAAGATTTGCATGTTGACTTGACAAGCAACAGATGAGTGTGTGTGTGTGTGTGTGTGTGTTAAACAGCATCCTGAGCCCTTTGTAGCCAGGGGAGTCGGCAAAGAGTATTCTTTTTAGGAGCTCCTCTCAGTAAAGCATCCAATAAATCTTCAGTGGGTTGTGGCGTTGTAACTTTAAGCAAGTTAAAATCCTCAACTCTTTTTCCACACTTACCTCTTACTCACCTTTGGAGCCCCTCCATGTGTCTGTCTCGAGAGTGCTGAGACAAGAAACCTCTGTTCCCCTCCTTCTAGAAATTTATTACAAGTGGGGTGGGGTCCCGAAAAAACTTTATTCAAACTTCTGTAAAAGTAGTCTTCAGAAAGAGAAAGACAGATGGGACAAAGTCGGAGGGTGAGGAAGTGGAAAAGAGAGAGAGAGAGAGCTGGGTGAGGAGGAGAGAGGGAGAAGTGGGAACTCGGAAGTGTGAAACATGCCTATAAAGCGCTCCCTTCCCTTTTTATGGGCTCCAGTGTGCGCCATATGGAGCCGCTGTCCCGTTTAAAAAGAGCATTCAGCTGCCAAGGCGCCGCCAATCTAGCATCCGCCCCGCTGAACCCCAGAGAGCTCGACTGAAACACAGCACATGTGTTCACTAGCCTGGGGCCCCAGGGAAAGAGGGGACTCAGAGGAGCATGGGAGATATATAGAGAGATGTTATACAGAGTTGACAAAAAAAAAGCGATGGTGTTAGAATATCTGTGAAGACGGCAAACCAATATGGCAAAACACCATTGACGCTGTAATTATGAGCTAGTTATGACGGGGAAGAATCGGTCAGATTCAAGGAGAAAGGAACTTTTAGATTGCCAAACACGCTAAGGAGGAGGAGGAGGTCACAAAATGTGAACGGTATGGTTGTTTATTTGGTCCCACTGGTTGAGGGAGTAAGGAAGTGCTGTAATTGCAAACACACCACAGTCTGTTCCTCATCAGGGAAATGCAGGGAACAAAAGCGAGATGGAAAGATAGAACGGAGAGAGTCGTAGATAAATATTAAAAAAGAGAAGCAGACCGCAGCGTAATGTGAAGTAGAGTCTACGTATCGTTTGTTTCAAAATGTTTTTTAGTTTTATAAGCCTTCATAACATAGGCTGGGATTGACGTATTGTGCTCGTGGTGTGTGCAAGTGGTTAGTGACCGACCTCAGCAGCAGTGTAGAAAACTCAGCCGTTTTTATTTGAGCTCGGGATGCCACAGCCAACATTGGAGGCAGCCACAGACCGACTTCAAGAGCTAAATGGAGCCTTACAGCCAGACCTGATGGAGTCAATGCCCCCCCCTTAAACATGCCATTTCTCCCAGGAAAGTGTCCACCCACAGAGGCAGATAGTCACTGTTTCTTCGCCCTAAATAGCCCCGTTATAGGGTTCAACAGGTTCTCACTTTTTTGCTTAGAGGGCTGTATGGTGCCCTTTTTTTTCTCTATATATGCCTCTTGTGTTTATCCTGTTGTAAAAATCTTCTGTCAGGGAAAATGAATATTTCTTGATTTTCTTGTTCCCAATTTTAAGACTTTTCTGTTAAAAAAAAAGCCTCACAAGTCTGTTTCTTTCCATCCAGGCAAACCTTCCCCTTCTGCAGAGGGAACTCCTTCACTGTGCACGGGCAGCCAAGCAGACCCCAGCCCAGTACCTGTCCCAGCATGAGCACCTCCTGCTCAGCACCACCTTGGCCTCTTCCCCAGACTCCTCTGAGCTGCTGATGGAGCCCCCTGAGCCTGCTACCAAGAGACACAGCCCCAACAGGTTGGAATTCCAACCAACACATATAAGCGACACATATCAAGCTCTCATGTTCCTGCTCAGTTTGTAACCATGCTTCATCTCCTTCCTTCTTCAGAGGTAAAGAGAATGGTTTTCATGAACGTCCCCCGGCAGCCTTGGAGCCTGCGGCCAAACGAATCTGCACCATCAGCCCTGCTCCCCGACACAGCCCCGCCCACCCTCTGCCCCTTAGCACCCAGCTTCACCCGACCCCTCCACCGCTGCAGCACTACGCTCTGGATGACATCGCAGCACCGCACATCCTGCACCGCGAGCACAGCCAACGCGTGTTGGAGATCCGGGAACTCAAAGACAGACCAAGGCTCCCTGGTAAGTGAAGCATAAAATGAACCACACAAATCACTTATACAGCCGATCGAAGTGTTTTCAAACCGAACCACTACAGTTAGAAAGTGAGAAAGTACTCCTCAGAGGAGCAGGGACTTTTTTTGTTGGTTGAGAAGTGTCCATATAACTTAATTAATTCCCTGGTCCCTGATGTGATAAAACACTGACTTTCTCCAAATGTTCCTAATTTCTGAGAAAACTCCCCACAGTGGAAACGACTCTCAAGTTACTGATTCATACAGAATTGAGCCCACGTGGAAGAAAACAGACACACTCACATACATTCTGATAACGGGTGGTCTGTGTGTTTGTGTGACCGTACCCGTATATCTCTGGAGTCTGTGTGTGTGTGTATAAACAGAGCCATACTGTCCAGGCAGGCAGGGCTGGATCTGCTCTGGTGTATATCTACCCTCCATCTGGGGGCTTGTCAGCACACAGTGGAAACAGCAGTAGCTCACAGACACACAAACACACACGAACAGAAACACACCTTGATATGTTCATGGTAGAGGTGCTGTGTTTACGAGGCTTTAGTCCCTTGTCTGACAGCCTCCCGCCCGCCTGCCGCCACTTAACTCATAGTCGCACACACACACACACACACACACACACACACAGATAAACACATCAGTCCACACACACACTCACGGCTTTGAACTGATGAACACTGATGAGAACCAGGAGTAGGGAAGAGGTCGAGGGGAAGGCTAGTGTGAGTGTGCATGTGTGTGTGTTTGCATGAGGGAGTCATTATTCTCTTCAGCAGGCTTGGTGTGCATGTGTGCTCTTGTTGGCTGTTTGTTTCTCAATTTTAAGAGACTGTGGTTTTGCTGACTCTTTTTAGTCAGTGTGTTGTTGTTTATGTGTGTGAGTGACATGTATCAGGACATATTTGGGCTCTGCATGAGCCCACAATCTTCTGTGTGCAAACTATTAAGACCGTTAAATATTCAATTAGATATTGCTTAAGTCATAGTGTTGAGTAATAACTGAATTGGAGTCAGAAAGCTCAGTTAATTATTGTGTGTGTTTGTGTGTGTGCATGTTTTTGATTGTAATGGCCCACAGTTAGTGTCAGAGCGGCTGGTTGTGTTTAGAAGTGGAGCCACTCCACTCAGCCTGAGTGTCTCCCTACTGGAATGCTGTGAGCTCCAGGAGGGGAGGTGCAAAGGGAGAAGTTTTGGTTAGTGTGTGTGTGTGTAGTTGACAGCTGACTTCCAGATGTGTGTAGGCTGTGGTGCTGGAAATCTGGTTTGCATTACAGGCTTCTACTTCTCGCTTTCACCCCACCTTTCTCAGTCACAATCCCTAAATCCATCTAGATTTTTCTTGTTTCTTATCCACCATTTACTTCTCTTAATTTCTGTCACTTTAAATTCAATATGTGAGAAGGTGTGGTTTAGATTTTTCAAGGCATGTCTTCCCTACTATGTGAGCAAAATATTGATGGTAATCCCAGGATATCTTGTGATGAAATAATGAACCTTCAGTATCTCAAAGTTTAAAGAGAGAGATAAGCGACAGATTAGACATCCACACACACCTTTCACTCACTTACTGTCACTTGCAGCTTGTCCTACATTAAGAAGAATGTTAATCACGTTGGCCTGTGGTCTGTCTTGTGTGTGTGTTTTAATCAGGCACTAACGGGGGCTACCGCGAGGAGCCGGTGGACCACAGACTGACAGACCGAGAGTGGGCTGATGAATGGAGGCATCTGGACCATGTAAGGCTGCAGACAGACACCCTCACTGCTAATGGCTTGTGATATAGAAAGAATGTAAAGTGTCATTTTTCTTACTGGGGTCCTCTTCTGAAGATTTTTTTCACATCTCATCGCTGGAAATCAAAAACGTATATACAGCACATCTGTAGAGAATACTTCAAAAAGTTGTTTTCATATTGTGTTTCTTTTGAGGACTATTTTTAGACACTTGCTAAGAGTAAAAGTTCATATATATCAGTGAAACATACAGATAAAAAACTCATTATGTGGCTGTCTTCCTTTATAGGTGTTGAACTGCATTGTGGACATGGTGGAGAAGACGCGGCGGTCAGTGAGCGTGCTCAGGCGATGCCAGGAGTCAGACCGGGAGGAGCTCAACTACTGGAGGCGGCGTTCCAGCGAGCAGGAGGACCCACGCAAAGGAGGCTCGGCCTCAACTCCCTTCTCCAAGACCCACAGCCCCCCACTCTGGCGAGCCGGGTTGGTACCGCTTTTTCTAATTCAGTTATGTTGGTGCACCGCAGAAACCGAACACTCCAGTTGCCATTTCTGTGATTGGTGGGTGTTGTTTTCCACAAGAGAAGATTGCTTCATGAACACGGGGAGGAAGCCAAAACCTAACGTTTGAAGGGACAATTCACATAATTACTAAAAGCCTTTTGTCCACAGTAGAAGTATCTTGCAGGGTGATTAGTTTTCAGACATTCATTTCTAAACCTGTGCCTCAATGAACAGCACTTCATTTGTCGGCCTTATGATTTGAGCTTTGGAGGCTAGACCCTACTTTGAATACAACTAATGAATGTCCATTTACCACGGGTGTAATGGTTGTAATGGGTGTAATTATTCTTTATTATAAACATGAATAAACATCACAAAGGGCCTAGCCGAAGTATTTACACCCTTGATCACATCCTATCCGTATTTAAAAAAAAAAAAAAAAGGCCTGAACAGGGATGCAGCGTGTTTGATTGAAAATCATGAAGTGCAGTTAAATAAAGCTGTAAGGTCTGAACAGCATCAATGACAGCGTCTCTGTTTCACTCTCTATACACCACCTAGTGGCCACCAATAGAAGTGCAGACAAGTCTCATGTGAGTTAGTGCGTCCACAGTGAGTCCCCCCCAGTCTGCTGTGTACTGGCACGGTCCTCTCTGAGCGCCAGCCTTGCCGTCCTCCTGCTGGTCCATAGCCACAGACAGGTGCCAGGACCGGCCTCGGCCATATCGGCCACAGAAGGGCTGTCCTGCCGTCCTGCAGGCTCAGAGACTCAGAGCTGGCTGACTCGCCAGAGCACCATCTGGGCCCCCCAGCCGGGAAGCCTGCCTGCTTGCTCGGGCTGAGGAAAGAGTGTAGTGGGGGTTGGAAAAGGAGACAGGGAGGGTGTGTGAAGCGCTTGGTTGAAGAGAGAGGATGTAAATGAAGGGGGGACAAAAAAGAGAGAAGTAGGAAGTGAGATGGAGAATATAAGATGGGGATAGAGGAGATGAGCCAGGTGGCAGTGTTACAGAGAAAGAGAAATGAATTGAGATGCAGAGAGAGAGAGAGATTTGAGGGAACAGACAGAATGTTGACACAGCTTGTTGGTCTGCAATTCCCTCCAAGCCAAACACATTCCTTTCTAAAGCTGTCAGATCTCAGATCAGTCCAAGACTCCGATAAACAACAATTACGACGGTGGTGTGGCCTAGATATGCGGACTCGTGTGCATCCCAGGCAAAACAAAAGAGTACATGACAAAGATATTATTGCGGCCTCCCTCTGTGGCCTTTGTTTCTTTCTTTCTGAGCACCTGTTATGTTGATGTAACTGTCAGTCACCACAAAGTCAACCGTTATTTTAACAATTAATCGTCTTAATATCTTAATAAGCCCTGGCAGGTGCTAATCCCTTCTGTCTCTGCTTCCCTGCAGACTCTCAGCGAGACTTTGCTCCACGGCCAGGCTCAGCATACGTTACAGACGAGATCTGGAAGAAAGCTGGTAAGAAAAATAACATCATAACCTTTATTCATAGAGTTACAAAGAACACCATCAGAGTTATATTTTACATTCTGATGTTTTGAAAACGCCTATATAGCTATATATCAGTAATGTTCAAGGTTATAGAGGGAAAAAACAATAACATGATTGTGGATAATTTTCATTTTAATGACATGCAGCTTTATGCTGGTTCATAGACTGTTAGACTGCCAATGTGCAGAGATGAAACAGGCTGAGTTCAACTTAAAACTGAACTCTCCCCCCCTTGATGTTTAGAAGAGGCGGTGAACGAGGTGAAGCGGCAGGCCATGGATGAAGTGCAGAAAGCTGTAGCAGAAGCTGAACAGAAGGCTTTTGAGATGATTGCCGCCGAGAGGGCTAAGATGGAGAAGACTGTGGCTGATGCAAAGAGGAAGGCTCAAGAGGACGCAATCCTGGTCATCAACGAACAGGAGGACTCCAGTGAGGTGAGCACAGATCCAGATTGTGATAACCGTGCACAATACTTTAAAAAATCAAATGTGGCAAAACTAGTTTTAAACACATCAGACTATATTTTCTCTTCCAACTACATGCACACGTTCATAATAAGCTGCTAATATGAAATGTTTCCTTTGATGGCGTTTTTAAAAACTACCAGGACTAGCATTTTTATGCTTCAAGTGGCTCTGAAATCAGCTCAAATCAGTGTGTTTTACATTGAAATTGAATTTAAAGAGCAGCAACACATAGTATTTGTATCTTTCGGCTGGATCCTTTAGGTTAAACAATTTTTTATATTTCTAAAATAGATCTTAAATGTGCTATGACCAGTAATAAAGAATCAAAAGTGGAAACAATTATTACATCTCACTGACAGGGGTCACTCACTGTGATAAACACACACATAACTATCACCCGATTCTGTTGTTCTCCTCAGCTCCTTTAAGCTTTATGTCATCTTTAGCTCACTGTTTTGTTTTACTGGCATGCAACTTGCAGAAATTGTCCTTTTGGTTCACTCTCACCAGTCTCACAGACATCTGTTAGCTATTCATCCAGCACCAAACACAAGATGAACAAAGACATAGTGGAGCAGTTAGCTGTTTAAAAGATTGATATTTCCCTCAGGCATGGAGGATGATGGGAGAATTAATATTGGACTTAAAATTTTCATGCAAGGGACACGACAGGAACCAAAGACAATGATGCTATATTTATGTTAGAGGTCTAAAGCACTGTTTGTCAACCAAAACTATTACGTTCACAGCTTGTTTCAGCTTTGGTTTTAAAGACGCCTACTCCCAAAAAAAAAGAAAACTTACAAATATCTCCTTTATTTTCAGTGTTGCTGGAATTGTGGTCGCAAAGCTAGCGAGACGTGCAGCGGTTGCAACGCGGCGCGCTACTGCGGCTCCTTCTGCCAGCACAAAGACTGGGAGAGGCATCACCTCATCTGCAGCCCAGGACTTCAGGCTCAGCCCAAACCAGTTTCTGCCATCACTGCAAGCAGGACGGCTGCTGTGGCGGCAGCAGCAGCAGCAGCAGCAGCAGCTGGGGTGTCTCCTATCGGTCTTACCGGGGTCAAGGTCCCCGACAGGGTGCCCTCAGTCTCCAGTCCTGGTGGAGAGAAGGCTTCTGTTGCCTCCCGCTCCTCCACTCCCTCCACCCCGGCATCGGCCCCTGAGACAAACGGACACTAGCAAGGTGAAGGACTTCAGTGGTGGACGCGTCAACTATCCTCGTACTTCATAGGGAAGAACTGAATCAGCAGGAAGAGGGAACTATGAGTGGGTTAACTTAGGATAACAGATTTGTCATCATACTCTTTGGCAGAGAAAAAAAGGACAGATTATGGATGACTGTCTGAGTGATATGTCAACTGGGACTTTGGCTTTGGCACAGAACAGAAGGACTCCAATGCATCCATTGGATGAACAGATCTCCCTAACAGATGGAAACGTGTTTGTCTTCGTCCAAAAAAACCCTCAATCTTGGATCCATGGAGGGCGGGGGAAAAAAAAAACTGACGATTGATCTGAGTTTATCTCTGTCTGCGGGAAGGGAGTTCTGAAAGGAAGGCATGTGAGAAAGGGAGCTTAAAGAAGTGTGATTTAAAGATGCCTCCCCCTCAGAACAATATTCTCACTTTGTTGTGTAAAAAGTTCAGAAAGAAGCGATGGGAAATGTGTTCACAATAACAGTACCAGCCACAAAGCATCTGTCTTTTTTCAAAATCTGACACTCGACTACGCACGAGTCATCTCTGCAGCTTCTCTGTACACACAAATATTTGCTCGCCAACTTCTTGTCAGGTTTTTTCATATGTGTGATTGTCAAACGGTTGTGACGTCAGTGAATATTGTACAGCATATTTTGTCAAAGCAATATCAAAGTGAAGTGTTCAGGTACTTTAAGACGTTTCTGCATCACCAAAGTTTTCAGTGGCAAAAAAAAGAGAGAGAGAGAAATGTTGTCTGTAACTGTCATCACCATGAAGAGATGAATATACACTTACTCCACATCATATCTACTTTAATAAGAGCTTACATCTATTCACTTCTGTTTTTGATTGTAAGACATTTTCAAAGAGCAGAAAGAGGCGCTGTGGTGATTGGATCAAGTAAGCGCAGGAAGATGCAGTTAAGATTTTATAAAGGTTGCAGTTTCATATTTGGCACTTGTTGACGTCACCAGGTGTGTATGGCAGGGTCAGAAGTTGCTCCAAATCTTCAGACATGGCAATGTTTGCATCAGTGCTTTTTAAAAACAGGTGTTAAAAGTGCTGTTTTAAATCAAAGGAGTTCAAAGGGTCTTCACATTTTTATTTGAATTTACCAAAAAAAAGGAGGCCATTTTGGTGCTTATGATGTCAAAGTATGGATTTGGAACAGCGAGTCAGTCCCATGGAGTATCTCAGGAGCTAAACTGTATTTGTTTGTACAGATTTTTCTTTCCTTTTATTTCCCTCTGTCACAGTTAGGTTAAAGTCAAATGTAGTGAGGAACTTTGATTTATTGTACTCTGCTGTTTCATCTGAGACATTGTTCTTTGTTTGTTGTAAGATTACTTTGTAAAGAATATTATGAGAGAATGCCTTTATTTTGTGAGCCACACGTTTCTTTGTTCTTTAAACACGTTCTTTTGTTATGGGGCATAACTTCATATGACAAAAAGGATATCTTGACATGAAGTATGAAATAAAGAAATAAAATTACTTCAAAACTGTCATCTCTTCTATATGATTGGCTTTACATCAAGGTTATGTGAAATAAAAAACAAGCTTAAAACATGGTATTTAAGCTGTGAAATAATACCTCTGTTCATTTATGTAAAAGGACAAATCCCTATCTCTAAAATAAATGATTAGCCATACAAACTGCGTCTGTTTCAAGATCTAAGATTTAAATGCTTGGATGAAATTATAGTATGTTGTTCTGTAAATATTCTCTTGAGACTCAGTAATATATTTATTGAAAAATGTCTGAATAAAAAAATTCCAATAATGAAGAAAAATCAAATTTGTATTTTAGAAACGTATTTTATTTAGCCTAGCGTTTCAAAAATGACGTCACGGTGACGTTAGCGGCTTTAACCTTTGAACTACAGTATTTTTTAAACCTGATGGCAATTAACTTAATATTTCGTCTTTCGTGTAGTTTTTCATGCTATAGTTCCTACCTGCCCTGATACGTTTTTGTTTTTTTGAATATATATATATTTTTGAATATATATATATATATATATATATATATATATATATTTATTTATTTTTTATTTTTTTTGGGGGGGGGACTTCCGGTAAGACGATACAAAATAAACTAACACTCCGGTAGGCTACATGTTTACATTTTTCTTATTTCTCTGAATTAAATAACTAAAACATGTTGACATTGTTAATGTCCAAAAAAGTCTAGAAGATACGGCAACATCAGATTTGTACAGTAAGTAATTGTATTTGAATGTGTGAAAACTAATGATTTCGGACTGTCTATATAAACAAAGTGATGTGTTGGTGGCTACTATTCACACACAGTTTATCCGTCGTGGTCTGATGTAATAATAATAATAATAAGCTTTAACTGGCATGCAGCCACTAGCTTGAAGTAGTTTATTTTGTCCTTACTAAAATGAGACTAATATGCTTTAAAGTATTTTTCTTTTCCCAGTTCTACAATCACTTTTGCTCACAGTATTTTGTGACTCCACAGATGCTTTCTGTGGTGTCTAACCTATGTGTCTAACAGGAGGACTGTGATTGTTAGTGGCTGTTGTATTATAATTGCAGCTGCATTGAATCTTCATTCTTCAGTTAAACACTTACTGTGTAGATAAACATTTTGTTTTTAAATATTTGTTGAGTAAACAATCATCAGCACCTGTTACCTGAACGCAATATATATAATCAAATATTAATAGTCCTAGGTACATATGTAAATATAAAGGCCCTATATATATATATATATATATATATATATATATATATGTATGTATTTGTAAGTTTTTTAACTAAATTATGGCATTTTCCTGATGTCCTGATTGAATTTGTAAGAAAAGTTTATCTTCAGGAGAACTTAAACTTTGTGGTGCTGACACTTGGCTAAAGCATTTGGATACAAAAGAAAAATATGTAATTTAAGAATTATTTACTAAATATGGTCACGTGTATTCAAAATTTCCCCATTTCAAATCAAAGTTTGGAAAATTGATTTGTTAATTTAGTTCTGTGGTACACGTTTGGGGAGGCTGTCCCTCTCTGCTTCACAAGTCTCTTATTTTGCCTCCTCTTCTACGCATAATGTTGTGAATCATTCAGTGACTCCTGATCAATTATGCAGGAGGCGTTTTTGAATTCAGGTATGAAGTAATGAGGAAGCTCTCCAGGAGATTGAATTATTCTGATGTTGGTTTAAATTGTGTCATGTAAAATGTATCATGTTTTCCTCTGCTGAAAGGATTTAATATATGAGTCTGTTGATGATGAAGGCCTGTAGTTAAAGTAACAGCAGCTGTGGGAACTGATGGATTTTTTGTCCTCATGTGTCTTAATCTGAGAAGCCAAATCTGAATACAATCGTCAACAGAAGGGTGTAATATTAAATGTAACCACAAGGTGGCAGTATGAGCTATGTTCTCAAAAGTGAAGGTTCATTTCCCTGCATGTGGCTGACTTGTTTGATCCAGTTATCTCATATGAAATAATCTACAGAAACATATTAAACTATGGGGGGGGGAGAGCAGGAACTCAGTAATATATTATAAAAATATTATCCTGAAGCAGTTTATCCAAACGATATCAGTCACAATGCTATGCTGTAACTCACATATCTTAGAAGCTCATCATGCTGTAGGTTTTGTAGCAGTGGTGATGTCACACTGTGGAAAAAAAACTCCCAACACTTGAAAAAGTTCTGCACTGAAAATATGAAAAAGTGAAAAACATTTGAGTTTTCTTAAAAGAAGCAAGAGCATCAATGGCAAAAGTATTTAAGGAATGTTTGTTAGACTGTTATGATAGAAATGCTTTTACTGAAACATTTATGTGACCTAATTTGACCGACTTTACGTTTATGGGTTGTTAAATTTACAAAAACTCATCAGATTTAATTTGTCAACAGCATGTTTAATCTGCAAAATGATTAATAACTGCAGCTAAATTTAGTGGATTAAAAATGGCCAGGCAGTGGTTACTGCACACGTCCCATGTACAGAGGTTATAGTCCTCCAAGCGGGCGGCCCAGGTTCGAATCCGACCTGTGGCTCCTTTCCAGCATGTCAATCCCCACTCTCTCACCCTGATTTGCAGACGGACGCCGACACAAACACTTGAAGGAATCTTGGTGTTCATTTGTTACTTTTAATGGCAGCTGTCCTGTTCTATCGGAAAGGTTTCCTTGAATGACTTCTTTCCCTGATTTCTGACTCTATCCACCGTCCCATCTCTCTAATAGAGGCACAAAAGCCCCAAAAAAAATCAAAAAAAATATTTTTGGGCTAGTATAATGGTAGGGGAAACACTGAGCAGTATTGCTTCAGCTGTGTCTTAATTTCATTTTGACTGTGTGATCACAGAGTGCATTTACTGCCTCTTAGTTGATCTAAAAATGAGACATGACTCATCTGTTGTCTACAGATAATTGCGTGTGTCAGCATGAGTGCCAGGGCCAGTGTTGTTGTTGTTTATTTTGGTGCCAGTGTCGACCGAGGATCGTGCCGTTTGCTTTGCACTGCAGATAAGATATTGAGTGGTGTCCCACTGTGGCTCAGATGTAACACACAGACACAGTACAGTGTGATCAGAATGCTGCCTGTAGGCTTTCTCTGCAATTCTGCAACTCTGTATAGCTTACATACACACAACGACGCACTATAGGCAGATGCTTTTGAGCATTGGGAACTTGTTTTCTTTTGGATTTCTTCTCTTTTGTCAGAATTGTTTTTTTTCCGCTCTGGATCTATTACGTTGATTTTCTTTACATTTTCGTAGCAGCCATAACTTTTGCTCTACAAGTCACAAAAGTATAGCGTCAGCATAAACACACACAGCTATTGTGTTAGTGTGTCTGACTTGGTCTGTGTTTGTGTTCTTTTTAGCGAAATTGCTGCTGCTGCTGCTGCTGCACACCGTTGTGCCGATTGTTTAGAGAATGGTTTAATTATATTCCTGGTTTCTGTCCCAGCTTCCTGCTGCAGGCAGAATAATGGAGGTCACTTTATTCTGCCCTTGTTTTTCAAAGCTCATCTCCCCAGCCTCTAAAAAAACAAGCTTCTTTATGCAAGGAAGTGATACTGATAGACATTTTCTCCCTTTCACTCCTCATTCCCCTCTTTTCACACTTTTTTCTCTAGTTAAAAAAAAAATCCCTTTAATGACAACTGACAAAGAGTGAATCATCTCTTGTGCCACCTTTATATCCCTGAGAGGTTATTTAATTTCATTGAAAGCTTATTTTTAAATGAATCATCAGTCCAGCACCAATTTCAAGGACAACACGGAATACCTGCAATGATCTTGAGCAGCTATGTCTAAACAGCAAAGTTCTCTTGTTTGTCTTTGCACATTTGATGAATCAGTGAATATATTTGATGCACACATGTTCTTCATCTTGCAACATGAATTAAAGTTCTTCAGTTGGAGCATTTCACAAAAGCTTGACAGCAGAGTATGAACACAAGCAAACTTGAAAGGTATCTCAACATCCTTAGAAAACAACTTTTATTCACATGGATCCTTAATGAGATACAGATATATAGATATATAGAACTAATAGTTATCTGAATAATGAGCTGAGCTAGATGGAATCCTTACTGAGTAGTACTCTGTGGATTCTCTTTAACAATACATTCAGTATAGGTCTTTACTGTATATCAGTTTTCCTATGAAGCTGAGTGTTCAAAGGGTTTCAAAGAAAGGCGTAAAATCAAGATAAGCTCTGTGCATCTATCAGAGAAGAGATGGGAAGCTTCCATGAAAGACACAGACCCTGCAGTTCACTTTTAAACAATCAACACAGATACTGGTGAGAGAAAAAAAAACGACTCTCGTAGAGGTAGAAGTTCTGATTGCTACACTGAAGTAAAAGTTCAAAAAGAAAGTCCAGGAACTCCAAACTAAAGTCCACAGAAGGACATTTGGAACATGTTATAACAAGTCATAATTGGGAGATTCTCACTACAAATTAAAAACAATGATTACTATGAACATTAAAGCTCTTTTGTGTGTTGAAAAATCGCATTATATGTTGCAGAAAGAATTCTAGTTATTTCCAATACCATTCAGCCAAAATGCACAGACTGGAGATGGCAAAATGAAGCAGAGTGAGCTTTCTCATCTGAAACATATGCTGACTTATTTAAATGACTGGCTCTGCAAAACTAAAAGACATTTGTCTCATATTTCTTGTCACAGCCGGGCACCAAACTGCTGCAAGGCTGCTCTGCTCACCGCCGGTAAACTCGTCCTTGTTGCTGTAAGTTCATTAGTCTCACATGGACACAGTGCTCTCTTCCTGATCATGATATCTTTTATTCATCCATACATTTAGACATTAAAACATTTACAAGAATTTTATACTTTGCTTCTTACCTCCTCTAGTCTACATAAAGATAAAACCAGGTCTGGAGGTAAATGCTAATGTTATAAATATGACATGCTGAGGTTATAAGCAGATTTAATGTGCATCACGTTCAACCGTCTTTAAGTGTGTTAGCATGCTACATTTTGGGCA